CTAGCAGCACTTGCTTTCACGTGCCTTACGGAAGAAGAAGCGAGACTTTGCCTTTATCGGAAACGATAAAACGTAATGTTACAAATCTCAACCCGTTTGCTTCATTCGGGAGCATTTTCAAATATAAGAGTACTCTCTTACGATTGGTCGAAATATATCGAGACGACCTTTAATACTACGAAATATACAGTCGAAATGAATCGGATAAAAATCAAATCAATTTACGGATGAACGACATAGAACGAACTCTTAGGTTAAGTTAGGTTGGAAACTTCTCCCTTATTCACCCTTCAAATTACCATTTATTTCGAGCAATCATTGCTCTATCATTTGATCAATATGCGCTTTAAAACACTCGGAAAGGCTGACAAAAACTATTATTGAATTCTTTAATTCGAAACTGCCATATTTACGTTAGAAATGCCTGATTAAAATATACCATTCTCTTTTGTGAATAAATTTATAACAAAATGACCACGTATAAATTGAAAATTGATCTGAACCTCAAATTAAGAATTGATCAACCTAGTTACAAGCAAACTGTACAATTTATTATAATCTAGTTGTAATATTATAACTAAGTGTAATATTATATATATGTACATATGAACGAATTGCAAAAACAAAATTGTAAAACTTTCTAAATGAAGTATTGAGTATTTTATAAGTATTGAATTTGCACTCGTAGTTGCCTTTCTATATATTTTAGAACCTTGTTCACTTGGAAAGTTGTTAATTGTAACAATATGTAACTAATCTAAAATCCAGTAGCCAATAATTGTTATAAACAATTCATTTTTATAATGGCGTGTTGATGAAATACAATAATGAAACAACAGATATACAAAATGAAATTTATCAATTTGATAAGTTACAAGAAACAAAATGAAATAATTTTCAAAATGAGAATGCATACGTAGATATTACAGGGGGTTAATACTAGAAATTATACAAATACGTGTAATTTCATTTTCACTGTTTGCGTCGGACTTTATATACTAACCTAACATTTATACGAACAGATTGCGGCGAATGTCCAGATATAATCAAAAAATTGGTCCTCTCGAACTGCCTCAGATACTCGAGAGTACCGTATTTTGCTCCAAAATTGCTCGCGTTAATGTCTTGAAAAAAAAAAGAGATTGTCGAGCAGAAATTTATCGCCTATCTGTGTGCCTTTGAAACGATTGGAAAATGGTGTCGTTTCCCTGGAATCTTTGATCTGAATGGCCCCTTGCATCCGGAAGAACGAAACGTAAGGAAAACGTCCTGTTGTAACTCTTTGCTTGGCCGACACAGCCGAAGAATCAATGCGCCATTGAAATTCCGCGTGTTCTTGCCCGATAATAAAGATAGCCGAGCCCATTGACGTTTCTATCAGGGTAAAAGACCGCTCCCATAAAACCTACCCTCCACCCAATACGCCATGTGCTCTCGTTGCTTTTATTTATGTGAAATCAAATGTTGTCTGATATTTTCTTGTCTATTTATTTCCTACACGATGAAATTTTTCTTTCATTCTTTTTTTAATCTCGACTATCTATTTTATAATTGTATTTGTATAGTTACTCGTGAAAGTATTGGAGCATTTATAGGAAATTTTTATGAACACATTACGTGTGTTATAGAAAGTATTTGGAAATCCTCGTTAACACTGTGATCCGATTATTATATTCATCAACTTTGAAATAAATCTAAAAATATACACGGATAATTGTCAGATTTAGTATAAGTCTCAGGGTGTCCCAATTTTCACGGTAGAACGTAGAGAAATTCGAGTAATTTCAAACGTAAAAAAAAAGAAGAGAACATTTTCTCATTTAAGATTTCATTCTTTAAAAAAAAAATCAAGTTTAAAGATTTGTCAAGTATATTTAAATTTGTTCAATTTTGTATTCGACAGGAGTGAACATTGAGGATATTCTATGCGTGAAAATAAATTAAAAATACGAAATAAAATTTTTTCGTTAAAAGTTACCAAAATAGATTTCGACTATATTTCGTTAAAAATCTCAAAGTTCATATGTATTTGATAAATTTTTCAATTTAATTCTCTCAAACGGTAAACATTTTATGAAGAAATTTTATTCTACATTTTCGGTCTATTTTTTTCACATAGAGAAAGAGTTTACTATTTTGTGGCAGCATAAAAACTGAGTATTTTGTATTTTTCGCGGATATTACAAAATATTATATTAGTAAGCTTTAATTATATTAATTAAAATGAATATTTATATATTAATTATATATTACATATATTAATAAGCTTTATATCCTATATTTAAGATATACCATATGTTATTAATTTTTTACTAAATATGTATATGTTTCAAAAAATATTTTGTAATATCTATATATGTATATTTTAAAATTGATTTCAATTTTTATTAATATAACCATGACAATCGAGTCGAAAAATATATATTAAAACGAATTAATAAACTTTATTGGTATAAGTATATATAACAAGTATAATTAGTATAAATTATATATATTTTGAGATATTCTACTAATTAAATACTACAAATCAAACTATCAAAGTCTTAGAACTGAGTATTCAAAAAACTATTGCATCGAATCTTGTCTAGATTCTATTAAAAACTATAGTTACAAGTTTGCTCACCTCTTAAAATAAATGACTATACATAGTTTCGGATTATAAATTTTACCAACGTGACTGTGACAGTGTGTGTCTGTGTGTCACACATGCAGTATTAATGAGATTTCGAACATAATATATAAAAGATAGGCGCTGGAATACTTTCGTGAACAGCTTTAAGTGCCTATCTCATCCTTCTGACAGTAACGTTCCAAAGCAGATACTTTTATCATCATTTTGCAATTTTCCTAGCATCGATCACACTGTACAATGTTGTTCGGAATGTATGAGAATTATTAATCAAACAACAGTTATTTCGAAAATTTAAAAGCACAGGGCCCGACGTAAAAGGAAAATGACATTATTTTAAAAGGCATTGGAAAATAAGAATTATAGTATAATTATTAAGTTTTCACATTTCGATCGATCGTTCGTACATATCTATAAACTGATGTAGAATAATTTCATCCTACAAGCAAACACACCATTTCACGAAGAACAAGAGAAAGAAGAGAAAGAGGAACAAAGTTCACATTGTTGAGCTGTGTTCGAATTTCAGAGATCGTCGCAACGACGCAACCGTTCCGGCTTCTAATCCAATGGTTTCTAATTATGCCTCGGGATCGCGTTCAACGGGCACGGGAGGGGAGAACGTGTTATTCAGCTTAATAATCGAAATTTCTAATTAGAAGGGAGCACGCGAGTCGAGCTTTTAACGTTATCGTAGAGAATCGGCGCCGACTGGCAATTAAACCGGCGTATTTATATTCGCGAGAGGCACACATGCGATTACCGACGAAACGGAGGTGGAATCCCATTTCTCGATACCATTTCATCAGGATCGCATTTTTCTTAACCTCGACTATCGTTTCCACCTCCGTTCAAACAAAGAAACTTTTTCGTGATAAAGGGAAAATTCGCGAAGTACTATGAAACTGAAGCGGTGAGTCGTTTTCGGTGAAACGCTGAAAAACGAAGGTTGTTGAATTTTCAGTTTCGCACGATTTTTAACAAAACTGAAGAACTTGCAGGTGTTAATATTATTAACTTTATCGCGATCGAAAATGACGTTTTTAAATCAATGGATTCTTATTTCAATTGCTATTGTAATAATAACTGCAAGGAAAGACGAATGCATTTATGATATATAAATGTATAATATTTACTGGTTTTCATTTATGTATTTTCTGATTACTATAATTTAGAACAACTTGTTACATACGTTTAACTGTTCATGTATATGAATACCCAGGCATAAGCAAAGATTAACTATTGAAGTATTGCACACGTAAGTATAAATATTAATAATTAATATATTGCTAGATTACACTTTATTGTTTATTATGAGAATAATAGAATTAAGAATAAAATTTTTCTGTCAATGTGCAAATTACGAGAGATAACTAATTAAAAAAAATACTTAACTTGGATTTTTTAAAAATACGTTATTGTGAAAATGAAAATTGGATAAAAGTAGATATGATAAAGCAGTGTATACGTAATGTGCTGAAAAGAGCATATACTATAATGAAGGCAAATTGAGAAAACATAAACAGCAAAGCAGAAGTTTTAATAGTTAATGAAATCGCGTTCCAGTTTCATCATTTGTAATTCGAAAATTGCGAGTAGCCCTAATTTAATAACCAGAACTGATTATCTTGTTCGACGTAAGATATAGAAATTGAAAAAAAGTATATACGTAACGAAAATTCAAAAGTTCAACTTATCGTTTATTTAACCTTATTGCTGAACAATGATATATCGTTATTGGCTACATTAATTTATTTTTCTCTCTGATTTCTGTGATTATCATTTTTCGCGAAATTCCTATATTTCTTTTTTTCTCAAACATCATTTTTCGCTTGGGTACAACTTTTTTGGTCAGCAGTAAAAAGGTTCATAATATTAGTACTAATTTATTATTAATCAGCGAGTGTACCTACGTTTTAATTACATTTTTTACGTTATTCTCAAATTGTGTAATTTGCTTTCTGAAGAAAATTTCTTCTACGAATCTTTAGTATGTGGACTATAATATTTATATCGAAGATAAACACAGTAGAATATGGATAACTAAACCTCAAAGAAGTTTGATCGAATTTTCAGATAAGAGAAGTTTAATAAACAAAAGATTCACTGATACAGATATTTTGTACAATAATTAATTTTCAACTATGCATGTAAAACTGTATAAAACTTCGACTTCTAGAGATCAAATTTCTAAATTTCAGAGGGCCACTGAGATCCAACATTCTATAAATACAAGTCGTAGAGGTAAAATATACATTAAACGTGTGACAAATAACTCCAGTTTACCAGAATTTATATTTCAAGTTATTTTTGGAGCAAAGTGGTGAAGAAAATGAAGAAAACTTTTGTTATTCGTGTTGACGTTCAAGTTACTGAGATTCGATTGTATTATCTTTTATTCATTTGTATTATCATCTCTATTCTTCTAAAAGTTAACAATTATTTTCTTTCAACTTTCTTTTTTATTTTTCAAAATATTTAAAATTTTTTTACATTCTGAAAGTATCAATTCTAAGCATCTATTCTATCATGTGTCAAATATCATTTATTTTTGAACTATTTATGGTTTTTTTTTTCATCATTTATTTATCTTGTCATCCTTATCTAAGAAGTGAAGATTTTTTACACTCCAAATAAAAAAGTGGAAAGATTTTCCATTATATAGAATGTTTATACAAATTTACTTTATTAGATGAAAATTCAATATCACTTTATACATAACTAATTTGTTTAGATACATTTAATTTTAACGAAGGATGCGATTAATGTATACACATGGATATCTCAGTCGACCAATAAGAAATGTAGTCGTGAATTCCTCCTTGAAATTATGAAATTTTTTTTTGAAATTCTTTTTGAAATAAAATTGCAAATTGCATTTTGAAATTCCCGGTAACTGTACTTCCAATTACTCTATTACATGTACATACACTCACCTATTACATGTCTCGAGCAACAAACATTCATTCTTATTTAAGAAAGAGAGAGAAAAAAAAAAAAGAAAACCGACGCGCGTCAATCGATTTCACGATATTCGAAAGTTTTCTATCAACTGGAAATCGTGACAAAGGAGAGAGAGAGAGAGAGAGAGAGA